CTATTACATATTTTCTTGAATTTGCAGTATTTTATTTGGTGATTATTGAGAAAAAACGAATCTTCTTTTCTTTTGCCCAATCCCATCTTCTTGCAACAGTTAGATTTTCAAATTTTTTGCATTTCACTATGTTATGATTTGACGATTTTCTTTCACAAAATATACATTCTAAAGTACGTTTTTCCACCGTCGTGGCTAAACTGGTTTCCCCATAAACGTGAAAAGTCTTCTTTTTCTCATATGATGAAGGTTTTGATACATAACTTGCGCTATCTGCAATTTTTTCCAGCCAAAATGCAAATTCTTTCAAATCAGCTTGCATGTGAGTCTCACTGATTTTTGTTCCCCATTGTAATTGCATGTGTGCAGGTAATTTATTAACAAGTTCCTTTAAAATTTGAGGATTTTGCAAATGACCATAAGCATTCAAATTTTCAACAGTGGCTACAAGATTCATGACTTGGTTTGTAAAATCAATCAAGGCCTCGAACTGAAATTCCTTGATGTAGTGGCTTTTTCGGATTTTTTGAATTATCTCTTCAATTATGTAGTCTGACCTTCCAAATCTTCTTTCTAGTATGAAAATCACCTTTTCTAGCTGCTCAGGAAAGTTTAATAAATATTGAACTGATTCTCTAGCTTTTCCCCTTAAACTTTTCTGCAAGCACAGTTTTTCTCTATTGGAAAAATTACATAACTCTGATGTTTCTCTGAATTGACTAATAAAACTAGGCCATTCCATAGGATCGCCTTCGAAAACCGGGAGATTCCACGGAATTGATTGACGAGAAATATATTTATTTAAATTAATTGCATTCTCATTTACTTGATTTGCATTAATCATTCCAGCATATGGAACATCCTTCACTAAATGATTTGAATTACTGCTATTCTTATTTGCTAGATCTACTGCTTTACTATTATTAACCCATTCTTGAACGTCTGCCGTTGTTTTATGAAAAGAGATCGTTTCTTTCACGCTACTGCATCGACTGCTTCCTGAAATATCGATTCTTAGAATATTTTCTTCCAATTCCAATCTTTTCATTTCAGTTTCATTTTCAATCTGCCGTTTCTTCATTTCTATTTCTAGTGCTCCTAGCTCTTCTTTCTTCTTTAGTTCTAACTTCTTCAATTCTATTTCTATCAATTTTCTCTGCTGATACTGCGATTCTTTAGACTTCACTGTATTTGTAGCAGGTAGTGGAGGAAATCCCAAAAAATCACTGACTTGACTTACTTGTGACTTTGAGTTTCGTGACATTTCATGTCAAATCAAATTATTTTTCCAATTTTTTCAGTTTTCTTTTCTTCGAAAGCTGCTGGGTTCAATTACTATCGTTTAGATCGAAGGACCAAATGTTATGACTGATATTGGCTTAAAGGTTGGCTTATAAAACTGTAGCTTATAATGTCTAATATAAGGACTATATTTTTAACGATTATTATATTAATCGAAAATTAACAACTGAACTATTATTGATTCAACTCCTCGTTAACAACATATTCTGTAAACAGGGTAAACTGATATACAGGATGTAAAATAAACTATCCAACAAAGAGCTTAGTTTTTTGGTGTAAGAATTCCACGATTAATAATACTAAATATGTTTCTTTTCATCGGTTAGTTTGTGGGTAATGAATAATTCATTATTTTGATTTGCTTTCATCTGTTGAGCAAGTATTTAAATCGAATGGAATCATGCATGTTTTGTATATTCTTTCAGCTCTGAAGAATTTGAGTTCAGGCGTGAGGTGCCATACCTGCTCATCTATTTTAGACGATTTTCGATTAAAAGTTTACTCATTCATTAATGATTCTAGCATTCCTAAGGATAAGAGAAATGAATAGTTTGAGGCTATTCGGAGACCATAATTTGACATTAGCCACTCAGCAAGGATAATTTTGTTCGGACCATTTTACGCCAGACAGCTTCCTGATGCTTTCAAGCAAATCCAGGACATTGAAACCACATGCAAATTTGCCGTTTCTAAAATTAATTTCTCAAATCTGAGTATTTGGAAGCTATGAGACCTGAATAACGGCATATTTCATTCGTTTCTCACTACTTTATGTATGGTTTATCAACCTTCCATAGTAGACCCCTCCCTACCTTTTTCCTTCGATACGCCTATGTTCCTCGGATTCATGAGTGTAACAAGACAGTTCCTAAATGCGCATGACTCAGTTTCACATGTTCTATCTCCTGACTGGCTCACTTTTTTTCCTTATAGAACTGGCGGTCTAGATCAGTCTATAAGTCGGTGGATCCAAGAGAGAGAATAATTATCGTTGAGTGTACAGGGTGGCTGGCTCATCATTGTGATCTCATAAACCGTAAGAGATACAGGGTCCGTTAAATCATGGCAAAGTTGCGCAATTTGATGCTGATCAAAATGCCGCCTCAAATGTTAGGAAATCCCGAATACTTCCGAAGATATTTGAAAAAACCCGAATATCCTCGATTTCGTTTTAATTTTTTTCTGACTTTATTTGGAGTGATATGTCCAAATGAATATTATATTAGCATTGCCACTTTTTCTGCTCTATCCAATGGCATTAATAGATTCATGATCCGACGTTTCGTCTTCGAGGAGCCATCATCAACTTTGTTTTTTTAAATGGTCGAAAAAAATGTTTCGTTCCTAATTAACGTCAATTCCAATTCTGAATCAAACGACATATAAGACTTTGCAATTATCCTACGTTTCGGACCAAAAAATCATTATCATTGTTATTTGATGATTAAACGATACGTCGGAATAAAAATCTGATAAGGACGTCGTGCAGAGTCGGGAAAATGAATGCGAAAATGTTAAATTCATGTGGACTATCTCTCGGTCAATCTCTATTTTAGTTTTCAATGAAAATTTATTCTCCAAGTTTCTAATTCTAAGAAATGATCTTTTTCTGATTTTACTATAAGAGATAGACAAAAATTAATTTGACATTTTCATAGCAATTTTCCCTTCTCTACAAGTTGCCATCATCAGAATTATGACCCGAAGTTTCGTTTCCTCGTAACTATCATCAGATAACACTGATAATGATTTTTCGGTCCGAAACGTAAGAAAATTGCAAAGTGTTATATGTCGTTAGATTCAGAATTGGAATTAGAGTTTTTTGGAACAAAAAATGTATTTTTGACCGTTTAAAAAAACAAAGTTGATGATGGCTCCTCGAAGACGAAACGTCGGAACACGAATCTATTAAGGCTATTGTATAGAGCAGAGAAAGTGGCAATGCTAATATGAAACTCATTTTGACATATCAATTCAAATGAAGTCACAAAAAAATAAAATCTAAATCGCGGATATTCGGTTTTTCAAATATCTTCGGAAGTATTCGGAATTTCCAACTTTTGAGGCGGCATTTTGATCAGCATAGAATTGCGCAACTTTGCCATAATTTAACCGACCCTGTATCTCTTACGGTTTATGAGATCCCAATGACGAGCCTCGAATTCCAGCCACCCTGTACATTGTTTTGAACATCAATATACATTGACATTGAAATGCGATTATTCTTGTTGAGCGTTAGTAGTTTATAATTACTAACAGTGAATAATATACAGATAATATGAGGAAGGAAAATATTATTTTCGGCATAAGAAAGGAAACTATTTCATCTAAACAATCTAACCTAATCAAGCCTAACTGAACCACCTTCCTAGAACCTATAGGCGACTGAGATTAAGATCGTAGCGCCAGAACGGTGAATGTCAGTACTACTCTATGGGCCATTGGCGGATTGTTTACATTGTTTGGTAATGGTGTTTATGTTCATTTCGTTTTGAGTTTTCGACCGTTCAGCTTTGTTATTTGTCAATTTTCGAACTTTGTATTTTCCAGCGGTCTATTGTGTTTTGATTGAGCACTATATTATCTCTGTTCAACATTAGATAACGTCCCTACCTCTAGTTGAAATTCATATATACCAACATACATAAGCTGTAAGTTTTTATCATTATTGAACAATAATTCTCATGAAAACCTGTGTGGGATGTTGATTTCCAATTCGAATATATGGCTGGGATATTCCCCTGATAGCATGATATTTTTAAAAGAAAATCCAGCATACTTTTTGAGAATAAAATGTTCTTTCGAAGGTGAATTTAGGTATGCAGTTTCTACTTGACTTTTTTCAACATAATCATCAAAACCCTGATTGATAAAATTCTTTACTGTTTAAAAATTCTACTGTTCATGAATAAAGATATATTCAGTTTGAAATTTGTTTGTTTTTTTACCATCACCCCAAGAAGTAGGTATTATATTTATAATATACATACTTTTGAGAATATATATGAGTACATTTTCAGTGAAGTGTAAAAAACAATCTCTCATTATGTTCAAACACTTTTTCCAATCTTCAAGTTATGAATCCACACCATTCTCCTACCGATCACTTCCTTATTTCCCAAATTATTAGTTTCAAATGCTAATTTAGACTGTCCTGATTTTTTAAAGGATTGGAAGCTATACTCGGGATTTTTTTGCTCAAGGTGAACAATCAGGTACACAACAATAATGACTCATGTTTTTAAACGTTTATAGAAGTTCTCAAACAAAATAATAGACAATTAAAACACAACTACTTCTTATACAAAATACACGCAAACTAATGTAAACAAAGCAATCAATGGCCCATACGTTAGTTATATTAGACAACGGTAGAGGGAGTACTCCTTAGCATGAATCGCCTATATTTTTCGGAGTTACTTGAGAATGAAATTGAAAAAAAAAATGTATTCCTCGCGAGGATTAAACCGGAGTCGCTTGCAAGCTTGGCCCACTATATGAACTATTTATTATAAATTATTCCTATCAAGTAGAGATAATCGCATGCTCATATCGGCTACTACGCTAAAAGCAAAAAAGGGACAGAAAAGTATATGTCTTCTCTCTTCCGCAGTGAACCCCGGGGAATTATGAATTCTCGCTTCCAAAGAATACCTTGACACCTGACATAAACCAATATTTTTAGTATAGTTACCTACTTGGTACATGGCTCCCCGCATTTCTTCTTGCACACACTGTCCGAGCACCGATAAAAGCAGTCCCTGAGACAGGGCTTGCACGCCTCCCTGCATGGTATCGGGCAATCGTGGCCGCACACCAGCAGAACTCCACACTTTTCCTTGCATCTTTGGTGGGCCCTACCCTGTGCGCATTCGCCGCATGAGCCTGCGCACTGGTGGCCGCAATCCAACTTGAACGAGCACATTTCCGAACACATTTTCAGTAACATCGCTGGATCGGCTGAAATGAGGAAGACACATTTTCTATGCATAACAACTCGGTCAATTATTTATTCATTCTCCATGAATGATCGGCTAGTTTCAAATGTCAATTTTAAAAAGATTGCCTTTAAGAACAGGGATTATAAAGCTTATTACAGTTTTCAACACACTAAGTGCACCTCAGACCAAATAACAATAGATAAAGCATATCCAAAATCAATTGGAGAATATCCCGCAACGTACGGCGAGGGCGGGTTTGAAGTTCCCTTTGAGGTTAGTGCAGGTGCGGCACGAGACGCTGCAATTGTTATTGTTCTAAAATTGTTCTTATCCATCATTCAGTTGCCCCCTTACGAGCAACCCTCAGAAGTCTTCAAGATACTTGTGCGAGCAAGGAATGACGGGGGTATTACCTTTTAACGTATGATACCAAACACTTTTTTAGGCCATCAGTAAAATTTCTGCGGTCATGGTGGTATACAACGCTATTCATTCACTACACTGTTTCACCACTAAACAAACCGATTTTTTAACGCCTCGACACGTGTTTCGCTAACTATGTTAGCATCTTCAGGAGAAGATTAAATCAGTTTTAGTTGTTGTTGATTTTACGAAATCAATAAATGTGATAGGGAGCTATGTCGTGTCGTAGGCGTGACCTACAGTATCTAATTTATGGTCGTCAGCAGCCCCTATGGGGTCACATGGTGTGATCTTCTTGAGAAAGTCACTTGGAAGCATTTCACATGGCAAACAGTGCATCAGCGCCAGTGTCAACAAAGAATGGAACTGAATGTTTATTATTTGATAAAACCTAACCTGACCAATGAATTTTCTTGTACCATTTACATTTTTGTTAACTTGACATACATTACGCTCTTCCAATTCTTCTGAGCTGTCTGATTCTTGGTCTGTATCCGGGCACTCCACAACACGAACCGATTTCTTCATACTTTTACACATAGCGCTCCAGTGGCCCCGTTTCGAACAAGAACGACACACAGATGTCTTTGCAGGACATTTTTCTCGATCTTCACACTGATACATACCACAGTATGCACATTTGTTAGCATCGTCTGTAGTTGTAGACATTTTGTACTTAATTTTGTTTCTGTTGAACATGTTCTGCTTATTTCCTGCACCATCATGCTTTACTGCACTAACTGACTGTTCCTGTCTAATAATTTTGTTCTGTGAACTTTGGAGTTCAGCTTGTCTCACAGCGGTTATGGCCTCAGCCAATGTTAATTTGTCTTTCAACTGTAAACGTTCACTGACCTTGATATCTGCTACCCCAATTACTATTCGGTCCCAAATCAGCACATTCTTCAAGTGCTCTGCCAAAGCATGTAAACTTGTTATAAAATTTTCTACCGGCTTGCATTGAACTGGTATCTCTCAAAGATAACGTTTCTTTGAGGGATAAAATGCAGATCGAATTTCGACAAAATCTCAGCATGTGTTTCGTTCCCGGTTAGGTTTTGCTGTAACAAAATGTCTTCTGCTTCATTACCCATCAAATAAACAAGCATGTCTATCTTTTCTTTGTCGTTTTTCCTGCTAAAACCGCTCACCGACATATAACGTTCAAAACTTTTCTTCCACTGAGACCACTGCTGTGGCTGAGTAAAATTAAATTCTGACGGCGCCTGGACATTCGCAAACATCTCCGGCGGGTTTTGGTTCTCCATTTTGAGGTTAACTTCCAAAGGATTGGTATCGCTAAAGTAAATAAAGCTCGATCACTCACTTGTGCGACGCATTCGAGGTCTCACAAGGCACCGGTGCCACCATGTAGAATTATCTACTCAAATAATACTACAAGTAGTTTTCAAGAATGTATTTATTTAGCAAACAACGAGTACACCATTATCGCGCGCCCTCAGGCTAAGCCCTCCCGTTGCATACCCCTTGATTATCGGAAGCGCTGGTGAGAATGCATGCGAGCAAGACTGGTTGTCTAGTTATCAGCCTGATAGCACATTTTTTATTGCCAGGAGAAGATAGATAGATAGATAGATAGATAGATAGATAGATAGATAACTTTATTCAGGTAATAATATAAACATGAACATAATAGTATAAACATGGTGATATTTTTAAATATTTCATAGACTGTCACCTAAGCCTAGCTTGTGCTGTGCACAGTCTATGAGATGTGATTGATTTGATATATTTCATGTTCAATCTGCTTATACTATATAATTTTCAGTATTTTTTAAGAATTATTGACATTTGAGGATGATTGTCGTTTGAGGATGAAAGGACCTTCAGTCAAAAAGTATTTTAAATGAATCATAATTAATATCTATGTATTTTTTTATCTCTTTTTAAAATTTGTATCTATTTTTTATATTTTTAATTTGTACTGGTATCATGTTCACCAATTTTGGTCCATAGTAGGATATGAATTTCTGTATGTAGCCTTTAGAATATAGTGGAATATGAATAGCAAGATTGGCAGTTGTTCTTGTATTGTATGCATGTGTGTTCAATTTTATTGGATTATTTAGTGTCCATATTATACTATGGTATACATATAGTTTTCTTACTTCGAATAATTTTGTTTCTGCATAAAGCGTTTTTGTTGAGTATCTCCGATTCTTCTTGAAGAGAATTTTTATCAATGTATTTTGAACAACTTGAATGATGTTCATTGAGGATTTGCCTGTACCACCCCATATGATTATACAATATCTTATCACCGATTCGGCCAAGGCATCGTAAATCATAAAAAGTAATTTTGCGTTAGCAATATTTCTTAATTGATAAAATTTATATATTAATTTATTCAGTCTCTTAACAGTATACTTTATATGTTCAGTCCAACGGAGATGTTGGTCCACCATCACTCCAAGATATTTTATGTAATTTACTTTTTCAATTGTTGAACAGTTACAATCAACATTATTGCATTCGTCTATGTGGATTTTGAGGGCTTTGTTTTCAAGTTGATCTCTCGAAGTAGCTGTATATGTAATATATTTAGTTTTTTCAATATTTAAACTTAGAAGATTTATATTTAGCCAATCACGATAGATTTTTAGCTCTTTTTCTGTGTTTTTATAGAGTTCTTCCCACGAATCATGTGTAAAGGTTATGGCTGTGTCGTCTGCGTATGATGTAACATGACTAGTTGTATTTCTGATGCTTCCAATATTATTTATATAAATCAAAAATGAAATAGGACCTAGGACAGTCCCTTGTGGGACTTCAACAGTAATTTGTAAAGGATCGCTGAGCACATTATTGATTTTCACCTTCTGAGTTCTTCCGGATGAATAATCTTGAATGAGATTCAGTGTAGTTCCTCTTATTCCTACATCATTTAAACTGCTAAATAATATATCATGGTTGACGGTGTCGAATGCCTTGGCCAGATCTATGAACACAGTGAGACACTTTTTATTTCCATTCAAGTTGTTCAAAATATTATCAATGAGGTGGACAACAGCTTTATCGGTGCTACTATTTTCTCTGAATCCAAATTGGTGCTGTGAGAGTATTTTATGTTTTTCTAGGAATTCCATGATTCTCGATTTGACTGTTTTCTCGAAGATTTTAGCAAAGTTATTAATAACACTGATAGGTCGGTAGTTGGTGGCTTGGTTTTTATTACCAGTTTTGAATATTGGAGTTGTTGTCGATTCTTTCCATTGATTTGGGATAGTGCTAGTGGAGAAACTTATGTTTATAATGTGACATAATGGATTCAAGAGAAATTGCCCGAGGTTTTTGAGAAGAGATACTGAGATCCCGTCAGGCCCGGAAGCTGAATTATTTTTTAGGTTTGATATTATGTTTGTAATTTCGGCGTTTGTTACAGGATTTAGAAATATAGAGTCTTTAATTTGTTTTTGCTTCGCAGATGGTACGCTTTCGGGACGTGTGATTCTATCAGCCATGTTTTTGCCAATGTTTACGAAGAAGTTATTGAAGTAGTTGGCTTTTTTTTCATCGGAATTCAGTTTATTACCTGAGTTGTCTATAATATTCGAAAAATCTGATGGGCTTTTGCATTTTTTGTAATTTGTAATATTATTAACTTCTTTCCATATCTTTTTGGAATTGTTATTGGCTTCAATTATCTTGTTTTTGAAATATGATTCTTTTGTTATTTTTATCAATTTATTTAAATAGTTCCTATAATTCCTGTATTCTATTTTTTGTTCGTTAGTGGGATTTTTTTTCAGTTTGATTTTTAATTGATCCCTGTGTTTGAGGGATTTGATAAGAACCTGTGTGATCCATGGTTTTAGTTTAACGTACTGTTTTTTAATAATTTTTGTTTTTGTGCATCTATCCATATATTTTTTTAGTTTGTTAATAAATAGTTCATAGGCAATCTTGGAATCGTTTGTACTCATGATATCCTCCCAGTTTTCTTTTTGAATGAATTTTTTTAATTTGTTTTCATCTGTGTATGAAATTAATTTTCCGTTTGAAGAATTGTATTGTTTATAGTTATCTATTTCGGTTGATAACATTATACAGTAATGATCAGTGATATCTGTATGTATCACATAAGATTCAAATTTTATTGATTTCTTTATTGTTTTATTTGATATTTTTATATATATGTGATCGATTATTGTGGAAGTTGTTTCATTTTCTCTAGTTGGTACGTTAATGTAGGGAAAAAAACCGTGTTCGGCCATCATACACATGTATTTATTTACTAAATTGTCGGTTGGGTTTGCAATATTTATGTTTATATCTCCCATCAATATTACCACATCATTCGTACTGTTGTTTTCAAAAGTTTGATCCAGGTCATTAATGTACTGATTTAGGTCTGTTGCCGGAGGCCTGTATGAAGCATAAATGCAGAAAGTAAAATCATTCAGTTTGTAAGATATTTTTAACAAATTGATTTCCGATAGAGTTTCAATATATGTGATATTGTCAATATGTTTTTTCACGTATACAACTACACCGTCGTTCCTATTATATTCTGATCCGTTATAAGACATATTGAAGTCAGCCAATACAAAGTCATTCACATCCTCTATGATAAAA